TGAGATTGCTCTTAGAAGAGCTAATGTAGTTCTGGGCTGCATTAAAAGACATATCGTATCAAAGGAACGTGAAGTCCTTATTCATCTGTACTTGACAGTGATGAGACCACACTTGGAGTTCTGTGTATGATTCTGGCCACCAGATTTCCAGAATGATATTAACAGATTGGAGAGGATTCAGAGGATGTCAATAAAGATGGCGTGGGGACTTGAGGACATGCCTGATGAGATCAGGGTGAAGGAACTTGGGATATTCAATCTGGAGAAAAGAAAGCAGAGAGGAGACATGATAGTTATATTCAGGTATACAAAGAGAAGCTACAAGGAAGATAATCAGAAACTATTCTCCATGGCCACAGAAGCCCATGCCAGAAAAAATGGGTATACATTGCAGCTACATGGATATTATTTTCCTGCACAGTGCAGAGGGTTGAACTTGATGATCCTTGGGATCACTTCCATTTCCACAATTCTCTGTTTCTATACAAGTCTTGGAGATCTTAAAATAGATCAACACTAGAAGATTTGGAGCATCTCAAAGCTATTTTAGAATAAAATTTCAGGTACTGTATGTTTATGTTCAGTATTGGTCTCTAGCATTGGAAATTAGCCAACAATTTAACTCAATTGTGTGGCAACATTCCCTAACCTGATGCCATCCAGATATTTTGGGACTACAGTTCCCAGAATTTAGCCATGCCAGCTGGGGATCCTGATAATCACAATCTTGACACATTCAGCAGCAGGCTTGGGAAAACTGCTGTGTGGTAAAGCTGTCCTGATGTGCATTGAAGAAGATGACTCAGCTTGACTCAGATAACCTCAGGGAGGAACATGTCTTGGAATTTCCTCTGGTAGTTGTGTCTTAATGTGTGTGTTGCAATGCTATGGTATTTGAAATCAGCATCTTTGCCTACCTAAAATGAGGACTTGCTTGTGATATGTATGGCATTTCTTCCTTACGTACTTATTCAATGCAGGCTATTTCATACATCTAAACTTTGGTTTACTGAACTAGTCCATAAGTTTGAGTCTGTGTAACTTAATGAACTATAACTGACCTAGGATGTTGGGTTCACACAACATGTTAGGATGAAATGTGGTTGGTTAGATTGCAATTCAACATGTCATGCAAACACAATGATAGATTTGGGAGGCTACCAGTGTCTGAAGTTTTGCATAACCTCAGATTTCTTTTGGGGGGATAGGGGTGATTATTGATGATTATAACTTGAAGCTGTTAATTTGCAGGAAAAATATACCTAATAATATTCATAAAGACACATTTACTCTCTCAATGTAATTATACAAAAGCAACTTCCCTATGAAGGAAAACAGCCTGGACATTTGTTTGGAGCAGAGTCTCCTGCATCTGTCAGACTAGACATTGTAAGTTGCTCTCTGAGGGCTCCTGTTTTGTTTCTTTTCCATCAACTTCTATGTTGTGGTTGTTGTTTTTTTCTAATTTTGCAAGCCTAGGAAGGGATCCTGGTTTGGTTTACAGGTAGCCCTCGCTTAATGACTGCTAATTCAGCGACTGTTTGAAGTTATGACGGCGTGGAAAAAGATTTACGACCAGCCCTCGAACTTGTGGCCGTTGCAGCATCCCCACATCACGTGATTGTGATTCGGGCGCTTGGCAACCGGCATGCATTTACGATGGCCGCAGAGTCCTGCAGTCACGTGACTGCTGTTTGCAACCTTCCCTGCCGGCTTCCAACAAGCAAAGTCAATGGGGAAGCTGGCAGGAGTTCGCAAGTTGTGATCATATGATGTCATGCTTAATGACCCGCAGTGATTCACTTAACGACTGCAGTGGAACTGATATAATAAGTCGGTGCAAGTCATGTGATGTTTCACTTAACAACCACATTGCTTAGCGATGGAGTTGCCAGTCCCAATTGCAGTCGGTAAGTGAGGACTACCTATACTTTTTTTTGCAAACTGCACTGGGAGCCTGAAAAGTAGGACATAAAGATAGAACTAGGTAACAGCATAAATTATTTCGTTTGGATATGGAATTTTGAGCAAGTGTTTTTGGCCCCAACGTTATTTTTTTCTGAGTGAAGTTTGTGCTTTTCTGTTGCTGTGTTTCAGGTGTGATGTAGAGCCTTCTGTCTTGTTAATATCAGTGGAAAAGTGATAACTTTCCAACAGAACGTGGGGTCGTTGTTAGTCATAAACTTGGTAGGAAAAAGCCTTGTTGTCAGAAGGTGAGAAGATTGCAGGGAGGAGAAATTTGAGCCTGCCTGGAGAGTCTCTCCTTGCAGTAGAAATGAAGGCTGGTTTGGGGACCAGGTGTATTTTGAGACGAGACTTTTCTTGACCATCTGTTCCCCTGGAGCTTGTTGCTCTTCCATCTTCACTTACAATTTTTTTTTTCTGTTTTACCTTCCAGAGGAAAAAAAATATCCAGGAAGAAAAACAGCTAGCAGTTTGCTGTCCAATTGTTTCTAATGCATAAGGACGTATAAGGATTTTTGATGTATAAGGATAAGGGGCGGGGGGAGTCGGGGGGGTCAGAAACCTGGTGAGCACCAGGAGTTGTGTGCACGCCCCAGGCGTTTGCTGTCTGGGACCCTAAATACGAATGTCCACAGTGGGTGGGAGGAAGGGACATCCCAGGTGGCCTGAGGTCTTCTGCAAATGACACACATCGCTTCATTTGCCTGGTGATGCCATGACCCAGCTGATGTCATTGCGGCTCACGTGGGGTGCCCGTGAGCCCATTCCACTTCCTGAAGGGAGAAACGGCGGTATTAGGACATTGTCCTGAGCCCTTTGCAAGAAGAGTTGAATATAAACACCAGAAATAAGAACAAGATTAAAATGTCGGATGCCTTTGCTTTCAGCTGACTTAGAAAAAGGCCCGTCCGTTTTTTCCATTCATGCAAGTGTTAATAAGGTGCTGGTTATTACACGCTGCATGTCTGTCTGGGGACCCTCTCTCTTCGTGGAGATCCCTGGCACACTGAACCAGCGTTGAACAGGAGGCAGACCGAGTTGGTGGGTTCTTCACTGGGATGCTGCTTCTCCCCAGGACACAGATGTCATCTTTTTCCTTCTCAGATTGCTGAAACCTACGCTTTTCTCCCAAGAGAAGCCGTGACCAGGTTCCTGATGAGCTGCACGGAGTGCCAGAAAAGGATGCATTTTAACTCCAATGGCGTGGAGCCTAAAGGTAAAGATTGCAGATGAAGCTCCTCTGGGGTTTCAGGCCTTGCACGACGGCCATTGTTACACTGTCAGATCCTTGAGCGTGGAATAGTCACCTTAAGCAGTACCCGTGAGAAAGTGCAACAGTGTCAGAACAATGACGTCCTCAAGCAACTTGCATCAGGGAATGGGACGGAAGTCTGTAAGTCATGGTGTTTGCACGAGGATGTCATCACACATGTGTCCTTATTTGCTCCTGTGGACACTTGCATGCACTCCTTAATGCTCACTGTGTACTTCTGGGCTTGCATCTTCCTTCCTTCCTTCCTGCCTGCCTGCCTGCCTGCCTGCCTGCCTCCTCTCTTTCACTCTCAGAACTTCCTTCCTTCCTTCCTTCCTTCCTTCCTTCCTTCCTTCCTTCCTGCCTGCCTGCCTGCCTGCCTGCCTGCCTGCCTGCCTCCCTCCTCTCTTTCACTCTCAGAATTTCCTCCCTCCCATTCACTCTCAGAACTTCCTTCCTTCCTTCCTTCCTTCCTTCCTTCCTTCCTTCCTTCCTTCTATCTATCTATCTATCTATCTATCTATCTATCTATCTATCTATCTATCTATCTATCTATCTATCTATCTATCTATCTATCTATCTATCTATCTATCTATCTATCTATCTATCTATCTATCTATCTATCTATCTATCTATCTATCTATCTATCTATCTATCTATCTATCTATCTATCTATCTATCTATCTATCTATCTATCTATCTATCTATCTATCTATCTATCTATCTATCTATCTATCTATCTATCTATCTATCTATCTATCTATCTATCTATCTATCTATCTCTCTATCTCTCTATCTCTCTATCTCTCTATCTATCTCTCTACCTACCTCTCTATCTCTCTA